AAAAAAAAAAAAAAAAAATCAATGTAATAATAAGAACAAAATAACCTTTTTATTCGTCATGGCTATCGTGAAATAAATTGTGTTTCGGATTATCTCGCGTCTATAGCAGCTAAGGGGCCGGGGGGCTTACATAGATTGGATCGACCGCCGAGTGGCTCTGGTTTCTGGCTGCAGCATGATCTTGTTGGGTCTCTCATCAACGGCAGATAGTGATTTAATTTTTTAGGCTTTGTCCTCCTTTTTTGTACCAAAAAAAAATACCAACCTTCTCTTTTTTTTGGAAAATATGTCCCAACAGTTATAGTCGTCCACAACATGGGCGCCTTAATAAAATGCCGGATCAAATTTCTGTCGTCATTAACTGAGCTATATTACGTCGTTGTCGCTTAAACTGACCCATGTTAAGTTTGCGTTGAAAGCTCTTATCCCCCAACATGATGTGTTATCTTTCGTGACGACTTCTTGGACTACTTTCAAGAAGTGGGAGTCGGATATAAACCTATCCTCGCATGTGCTTCATCCTCGTATCAACATCATGTTGTCGCTTAAATTGATCCATGTTCAGTTTTTTCAGGATGTATTATATTTTATAAAATATAATAGACAAAATATATTTCTGGTTTTATGTTGCTTTATGTTATAAAATGAATATTGCAATTAAGTTAATTATGGTTCTACACTACAGCGGAGATCAAGGTCGAAGACACGGTTCGGCCGGATATATGCCCATAATTAACAAGAAATCTAAGGTAGATTTCTGTAAGAAACAATGGTGGTGCAGAAAATGAGTAGATGTGAAGCATCCTTATGTCCAGATTCAATAACTAAGAAGTAATAAAATATATACTACATTGCTGTCCAAAAGCAAGTGTAAATGACAGAAAAAGGCATTGTGTGTAGACGAAATATAAGTCCAGCAATCCCAAATATATTGCAAACTTAGTTTCAGAAGGTAGTTCAGACTTCCAATCACAGGTAAAATTACTTTCAGTTTACCATATTTTCGTGACTTTGAGCTTTCGCATATGATCCGTGGGACGACTAAGCTAGGTAATGTTTTCTCATGCTCAACATGTTCCATAATCAGCAAAAGAACAAGCAAGCAAAGAATCAATTCAATAAAAAAAGGAACTATTTTCTACGTTGAACTTTTCGTGAACGACAGAAATCATGAGCAAAGCACCAATCGTTTTGGTTACTCGGTTAGTTAATACTGGGCTCTTAGGTCAATTGCTTTCAAGTCTCTTAGTTTATTGAACTGCAAACCATCCTCCTCCGAGTAGACGGTCGGGGATTGAATTTTCGTCCATACTAGGTAAAACAAATCTGTGCACAACACTTTTGCAACTAATTAAGCGATTGAATTCCAAATAGTCCTTCTCGAGAAACACAACTCCGGCTTGGTTAAAACTCCATACTAGCTAAACTGAAATATACATCAACAATATCAACTCAAGCAACAAACGACGTACATTTTCATAATATATGTACTTTTTCTCTGATAAATAAACATTTTTTTTGACAAATAAGTATGCAGTTTAAAATTATAAATATTTTTCTGCATACTTAGATAACTAATTAATCAAATACAAATCCGAGTATCCACATACTTAGACGTTTTTATACTAATTATTTTTGTATATTCATGTCTCAATATTTATAGATAAATTAATATTCTAATTAAGATTTTCTATTAATTGTCAAATTGAAAAGGTTGGTAAATTTTACGAAATTTTAAACATAAGAATAAACTTTTTCTTTAATCAAGGAGGCATATTTTTATCATTATTATTATTATTATTATTATGATTACTAGTACAATACCCGTGTATTACACGGGTGCTTGCTAATTTTTTTCTTAAAATCTAAAAGTAATGAGAAAAAATAGTTTGAAAATTTAAATACTTTTTGTAAGAATATATGTATTATTATATATTTATTATGAAACTTTTTATTTGTGTGACTTACTTGTGTTATATTATACTAATTTTTTTAACTTACAGAATATAACTACATTACATATAAATATATCAATTGAGAAATAATTTTATTTTTCTAATGAATTTTAATAAATTTTATTATTATAAAGATAAATATAATTTATTTTTTCATATATACAATATGGATGTCAAATTGAAGATCATCAAAAGATGATTAATTTG